AATATGTCATTTCCCATAAAAACCTATGTTAAAAATGCAGCCAGTTTCATGCAATTTTAATATGTTGTTCTGGAATGCAAAATAGAATTATGTGAATTTTTGGGAATTTTTCACCATCCCGTTTTGAAATAAATCTACTCCTAAAATTGTACTTTTTAGGTTTTTGCAGTAGATTTTTATCAAAACGGAACGGTGAAAAATTCCCAAAAAATTCACATAATTCTATTTTGCATTGCAGAACAACATATTAAAATTTCATGAAATTCTCTGCATTTTGTTGTAGCCATCGAACCACCTTAAGGTTTTATTTTAAATCGTTGTTTGTACAATTAAAAATACGTTAAAATATGGCAATATGTTGTTTTATTTTTACAATTTCTTGATAACTATGTAGACAAATCATTTCAGTCTTCGTAAAAGTTTTTCCTAAATGTGTAAAGAATTATTTGCATCTATTTTCATTAAATTCTTATCATTTTTAATATGCTTTCGAGAGTTACATTACAAGTGTCGTAACATTTTTGCTATATGTCGCCGTGTATAAGAGAGAGAAAGAGAGAGTATAACTTCAATAATTAATTACTCGACAACCATGCAGATAATTGTCTTCAACTTTGGCATGGACGACAGATTTCATAGACGAATATATCCTTCATATAAATTTGAACTAATTCTTATCATATTGATTTGAGCAACCAACCTCCTTAAGAAACACCTTGTATAGAACAAATTTTATCCACTTTTATTAATATGTTCTATTAAAAATAATGTTGGAAATTTGCAACTCCTAAAATCTGTTTCGCTCGGGATACGTGCCTATAATATCTATTGGCAAATCCGACGAGCTGATTAATCATTGTACGCTTAATTCATCGACATACAGTATTGGACTGCGCATAAAAGAGGATAGAGCACATGTACGGCCAATATCTATCTCTTTCTATTCAACACTGTAATATTGGTTGAAAAGCGAGTCAGATTGGCCGCACTTGCGCTCTATTCTTTTCTATGATTCGGACCATTTTGGTATACTGCGTTTAGGTACGGATGCCTGGCGCAGTCCAGTACTATATGTCGATGGCTCAATTGTATTTGCCGATGGCAGCCATCGACACGCATCATCGTGTTCCTGAAGGAGCGTATAGGCTGAGAACCGTTGCCTACTATGATTGACGTTTTAAGATTATCTCGAATGACATTCCAGAACGTGAGTCGTTTACCTGCTTTCGGAACACGCTGCACAATCTCTGTGGGTGATTAAATGTATTCGGCTCTACAAATGTACGTGTAGTGGCGTGCCTGTATCTTGTAATTCTTTCACCACACTAATTATTTAATAGCGAATTCAGGCCAAGTCTATTTTTTATACTTGAACTTAGTCATGTTTCTTTCGACAGAGAGAAGACGCTAGAAATTTGCTATCATCGCGGATACTATTTAAATATTATGTTCGACTTTAACCTCGTCTTTTTGATTATTTATTCACAGTAAAAAATTTTGTGTACTTTTGTTTAAAAATATCCTTGTTAAAATTTTTGTGTTAAAAATGTAACATACTTATGTATTAATTTAACTAATTTTGATTATATTATCTCATTTATTTGTGTTAAACTCATATTTAAGTAAATCAAACGTTAAAATAACACATTTTATACTTAAATCATAAGATTAACATAAAAATAATGTAGTTTTGTTAAAAAATATTCTCGTTAAAATTTTTGTGTTAAAAATGTAACATATTTATGTGTTAATTTAATTAATTTTGATTGTCATTTGATATATTTGTGTTGAATTCATATTTAAGTAAATCAAATGTTAAAATAACACATTTTATATTTATAATCGTGAGATTAACATAGAATTCCTTCTGATATTTCAAAAAGACTGCAAACGCTAATAGTAACGCGCGCTGCCGCGACGCGGCTACACATGCGCCAGTACCTTCTAAGTAAAAATTCTCACGCGCTAGGATAAAAGGCGAGCCTATGAGAGCCACTTTGCATTAATAATTTAGTGTATAGCATATAATATAGCCTGTCTCTTTCTAAAATTCTAATTCAAAATGTAATAAATTGTTTTGTGCAATGTACTATGCAGAAAAGTGTATTATTATTATTTAAATAATTCTCATTTATATATAAAATAATAGATAGTATTATTGTAGCAGTAATAATAATATCCGTTAACATTTTCAAAAAGTTATATTAACATATTTTTTCTGTAAAATATTGAATTTCTATTATATAAATACTGTAAATTTTACACAATAATTTAATCAAATTTTTGAATAGTTACATTTAAAAAATGTTAAAATAACATGTTTTTTTATTTATATTTAACATTATACAAATGTTTGTTGTACATACAATTTTCGTTCACATATCATCAAACTTTTTTTTATTTTGTGTTAAATTATGGACATAATATTTGTGTTATAACTCATAACTTGACATATTCACATTAGGAGTATTCAAATAAGTTAGAGTTTAATGGTTTGACAGGTTATGTCGAGTTAAAGTTGGGTAAAAAGTTAATTTTTACACTTTTAACCCAAAGATTAATATGTGATAGGTTAATGAGTCACTTATGTATTTTGCATAACCTTAAAGAGTAGCGCGCCCAAAGTTAATTAATTAACTTTTTACTCGACTTTAACCCGACATAATCTGTCAAACTGTTAAACTTTAACTTATTTGAATACCCCTATTATGTTAAATTAACACAAAAATTTGAGTGGACCGTTTGGAACATGTGAAATGTGTTGAATTTAACATTGAATTTAACAATTTTTTTACTGTGTTCCATCGCTTTAAATGTTATCCCCATTTCGGTTTTCCTTTTAACAATAAATTGTAATTACTTATATCAATCTTTATGTAAATTCTTGTTGTTTTATTTCCCTTGTTCTGAAAAAGATCAAGTATGGCTCGAAACATAAACTTTCAAATTTTTAATAAACAATTTGTTTTAATTTATTTTTTAACATCTTTATTATTGCTCGAAAATTGGCATTTTACTTTAATTATAGCTATTTAAATATTATTAGAGACCCTTTACCTCACCATTATCGTCATCGATCGTAAGAACGGACATAATAAATCGATACATCATCATAGACCGACAAAAAGTAATAAATAATTTAAAAATTGGCAATCTTCTCAATCTTTCGGCGAATCATATACGTGCTAAATTGCCATTATGAGGACGCGTACCTTAGGTGCGCATCGTGTCGAGACGCATCGCCGTTTTATATATCACAAAACAGGCTTACGGGTAGGCAAACTCATCAGACTTCTAGGAATGAACGGTAGAGTCTGAGGAGAACGGAATATAAAACCAGTCGTGATAATCTCCTGGATGCAATTTTAAAACATACTCGACTGCGATTCATACCTTCTTCTCAATGCCTTCGACATTATTTTCATCTTCTCATGAACGTCATGTTAATCCCGTACGAAACATCTAGCAATTAACGATCGAGCTATCTTTGCATTTATTATTTCTATATAAAAATACTTCCATGAAACGTCGCATTATATCGAACACTGATCAATCGTTCAAACGACAGATTTTAATTACGGGAGAACCAGCTTTACGCTTGTGTTTCGCGCAACGTAATATTGCCGGTCAATGAATATCGTTGAAAATTCTCGAATAAATGTACGAGCGAGCGGTGACAACGGATTGAAATGTTCGTAATTTTGCGAGTTGCTAGCATGGCCTAAAGAACAACTTGTGCGATAACGAACTTGTCAATCATTCCAGTATAGTCGCGAAATCTCGTTATATATATACAAAACACATCCGTGCTCTCCTCTCGAATTACTTTAGTTCGCCGAAGAATTATCGCTTCTCTCGAAAGATCAGTTGCTTACGTTTAAATGCGATCAAAATATATAAATTTTCATACAGACTCTTTGTACTGATTAGTAGTCAATTAGCAGCTCATGAAGCGAATAGAGAAATTGTTGCATCATTGAATGTATAATTTTACATGTTACCTGTAAAAAAAAATTTTAAAAATGTCGATTTCATTCTCGAGTCGTGTTATGCGTTGCGTGCCTGCGTCGTTAATTTGTCACTTTGTTATAAAAATGTCACAAAAAGTTTGCATTATTGCGTCGAAGCCGGCTTCTTTCTGTACGTAAATTGCTGCAGCAAGTTGCCGACTTATATATCAGTGAATGTAATCTCTTCGTGTCTTTTCAGCGTTCAAGTAGTGTGCATAATTGAAGTACATAAATTGAAGTTTAATGCGAGTAAACTGGAGCAGTTTTCTCTTTTCGTTCACTGAAAAAAAGTTTGGTTAGAATAACCTAAGGCTTGGTGAAATAGCTTCAACTAAAGGGTTTAGTGATTATGACGAAATATTTGCAATGGTTAATGTTAACCGAATTTGTTAACATTAACCAAATTTGTTAACATTAACCAAATATTTCGTCATAATCACTAAACCCTTTAGTTGAAGCTATTTCACCAAGCCTTAGGTTATTATAACCAAACCTTTTTTTCAGTGTTGGTATCTAACGCAATTTTACTTCAGTCAGTCACCAGAGTTGATAAGTTACAATCCGGGATCCTTTTTAGAGTAAATATGCGCATCTCGTAATCGTGAAGTTTTAAGCGAAGAATAAGTTTCCGTCTGACCTGCTGCTTTGTACTGCATTATACATGATCTAACAATACGGTTCGCGCTTCGCGTTGCTTCGCTCTTTGAAGATTTGTGAAGCTGTAAACATAATATGCCAGTTCGACCAATAGCGTGGTAAGCTGTTGATCCACACTTTAAATGCACATTTTTTACTTTCTTCTTTGCATCGATCAACTTGATCGATAAAGACTATTTTACAAACGCGAAACCTAATTTTTTGCTACACGTGGCGATTCAAATTATTGTTTTGCGGAAAGATATGCATACACTAGTAAATGATCTTTCTAAAATGTAGATCGACTTGGGCGTGCCCACTTAAGCGGATAGAGGGGAAGAAAAGCGTATTCACCTCCGTCTCTGTTGCTACGGTCGATGGCGGTGTCGTGTGCTGCTGCGAGGTCGGGTACCGCGAGTATCAGGAGAACGATCCAGAGGAGCCTCCGCCATTCGGTCGATTTGACATCGCCGTGGAATTTGACCGCGAAGATCCACCGCACTACGTTTGAAGCACATCTCGCGGTCGATTCGCGGAGCGGAGTTCTATCACACCTCAAAGTTCTGTCGCGTTTTCCAACAGTCGCTTCCGAGTCATTCATCAGCAAATCGTTCTTTTCGCGCTTTCGTCTCGACGATCGATCAGCCACATGACTGTCCCTTGTCCATATCGCGTCCACCGAATTGTAACCGCCCGTTTGACCGCGTAGACGCTCGCAAAGATCGCACGCCGTCGTCGACACCGGTGACGGCAGAAACGACACGCCATCATCTCTCTCGAACGCGCCGCAACTCGACGATGGACAATGACAGTGGCAGGTGGTAGAATTAGCCTTCGAAAGATCAAGAGCAACAACGCTCGGCTCGTCTTCGTCGAACGTCACGCCGCCAGGTCCGCGCGCGTAACACGCGCCCGACGACTTCATCTTCACTGGAAGAACGAAACTTTTCCCCCAGAAGGGAAAAAACGACTCTACGTTCTCCGCGGAATTCAGAGTAAAAGGGGTAAAGTGTCGCGTTTCGCTCGCATCTCTTCGCCGTCGACGCGGCGAACTCTCGCGTCACACCACAGCAGCGTTCTCTTCGGCGTTCTCTCTCTGTTCGTTCTCGCGAACGTACGTACGATTGGAGGACTCGAGCGTCAATGCGACCACAGGCTTCGACGACGATCGCTCGACGACGTCGCGGATCTTTTTTTTTCTCTCTCTCGACGTTGACCGTGACGTGTTTGTCGGCGTCGGCTTCGTTTGACCTCTTCGTGGCCGCGTGAGAGACCTCGTAGGCGTACCACGAAACGGAGAGACCACACACACGCACGCACGTATACGCGATATATCAACCAACTGTGCTGGAAGATCGGCACCACCAGCAGGTCGTCACCCTAGACGACTCCATTAACTGCAACAAACTACGCGCGCCGATTCGAGATTCGCCAGTTGATCTTGACACCGAATCAGTGCACGCTCCTCACCATACCGATGATACTGCTTCCTCGGCGATATTCAGACAGTCTGTCATCCTGGAACGAAAAAAGATACAAAGTTATACTTTGCAGATGCCCTCGATATTATGAATAATACTGTATTTAATTTTAATGATGTTAAATAAGTCGTTTGGCGTCGTTTTTCAAGGGGACATTTACGTTACGACATTAGCTTATGTAGATTTACTTGGACTTAATCGTAGGAAATGAGATACCTTGAAACGTTAATTTTTTCGTATTCATTGAAGGATAACGCGAGCGCGCTACACGGCGATAATACACACGAGCAACTTGAAGAAGGGAAAATATAATGGCGATTGTTGCAAGTGAGACTTACGCAGCCATCAATAAATGGCAATTAGAGTCGTTATTTACAATGCATGGCGATCACCGGCGCGGCGCCAAGCGTATGCCATGCTCATTATGGTCATTATATGTGGAAAAGAATGCTTTGCAAGGATAAATTATTGTAATAAATGAATATTGCGCGTGTCCATTCAACGAACAGACCGTGCGCGTAATAACATGATATAAAAAGATATACCTCGTTATGAGGATTACGGCTAATTATACGACTGGATGACGGTGCGAGTTGCAAACATACTGGAAAATAATATCGTTGCCACTTTTGAGGGTATTCGGGATGGCCCTGTCTTATCGACTTGAAATTCCGCGCAACATTTTTGCACGATAACGTTTTTGCACGATAACACTTCAACTCACAAAGCAAGGAAATATCATTTATCAGTCCTGTGTGTGCCAATTTATTATAATAAATTATAAGACTGCATCGCAAAAGACCCTTCCTTTCTCTTTGTTCTGAGAAATATATGAATTTAATGTACGTTTTAAAATGTAAGCAAGAGCTCGTTTTAAATTACATTACTTTGTTTCCTTGTGCAAGATTGTGGTAACGATACGCGAAGGAAAACGACCATCACCAACAAAAAATTGAATTTAGCGAGTGAATAAATATGTTCGATAAGTTGCGCGGCAGTTTCGATCGTCTCGATAGCAGATTCATCGACGATAATATTTCGCGAAGGAGGTGCTCGTCGAAAACAACGAACGTTTAGCCCGAGGGTTTCGCGGGATTTAATCAAGCTCGCTCACTCGGAATTGGATTCATCCCCCTGCCACGGATATTCCCTTGCCATGTTTCGTTATGATTTTTGACGAAAAATTACACACGCAACAGATTGTTTACGTAACGTCGAGATCAATTGTGCTCAAAGTGGTTTATGTATGCTAATTTCGGATAGCTGTTGCGAGTATCATGCACTCATTTTCATGCGCATTTTTACGAACCGCGACACTCTATACATTTTTATAATTCTTATCCATCCGTATGTACCGGGGTCATGACGCTTCGTGACAATATCTTCAGGCCATATTTATAGCGCGGTGCTGTAGCGCGTGCGATAAACGTGCGTGTGATTTACAAATTATCGAATAAGCTGGGGTGCTCGAATCGACGATGCAACTCACTCTCGCCATAGCAACACTGTATCGTATAAAACTGTCGGGCACAAAGTAAACTCGGCAGATGTCCGGACCTTGCCTTATATACCTATACAGGCGCGCGGTATACTCCCTGTATACTAAAACTCTACGCAGAAAAGTAAACCCTAAGCTCTAAGAGCCGCATGGCCAACCAGTTGTGTGTCTAGATGCAGAATTCGCGTTGTTTACGACGCGCGCCGACTACGTCTAATGTGCCAAACGCTGCTTTTCATTATACGGAAAGCTGAGTGTACATGCAGCCAGAAGGTACTACGAAGTAGAAGAGGGAGAAAGAGCGAGAGAGAGAAAACAGGAAACGTGCTATCCTGCTGAATAACAACGCTGCTTCTTCTGAAAATAAATTACAATTTTTCAATAAATTATTTTAAAAACATACACGCAGAAAATTTTTCTCGTAAATACAAGTATACACGAACAAAGTAAATACCATACTAATCTTGCACGGCTAGGATATAGTCATAATATGCAAAAGATTTCAAGAAAGTATAGGAAAATTTAGAGAGCAAAAAATAAAACTATACGCAGAAGTAAATATTTCCATCAAGTATGGGACTTTCGAGAGCGCGTTTTACTACATTAATTTAAAGACGAATGATTCAATTATATTTTGTTCGATTGTGTCTTATCCCGAATATCGCTGATGAACAAAAAACGAGACGTTTGTTGCAGTCATGTCAAAAAACATAAGTTGAATAAGTTGCCGTTATAGGCTGTGGCGGTCAGCTGTCCGCCACGTGCGAACTTAAGAACGCTATAGGGACCCTGCCGAGCTGCCCTAGATATAAAGGTCGATGTTGAATCTTAATCACGCGAGAATGTACCGGCGATGCGCCGCGTAGCGGGCGCGAGCCGAATCCTCTCGCCGCGCGAGCCCACGTTGCCGCTCGCGCCGCGCGCCTTCCGTCGTCCACGATCGCGGTTACTATCGCATTTCTATAAAGAACATAAACTATTGCCAGATACGCAACGAATATTTCTATACAGTTCACAATAGTTACCATTCTAGATTATATTTTTCCTATACTGTCTTAAAAAACAACGCTCAATCCAAGACATGTGAAGTTGGCAATTCAAGCTACAACGTCGAATATACACATACTAGTATGGGACTTTTTTTACTGTTCTCATATTTCCTTGTTAGTATGGCAAATTTATTTACCTTTAGGTTACAAGATGTGTCTGATCAAACTATTACATTTCTATTGTCATATATTAATTTCCGGTTGAATACGCGTATATCTTACCGGAACCTAGCAAATCTAGTAAATTTTATTATGAGTATTCTACATTATTCGAGAAAAATTTTCTGCGTGTATGAAACGAAATTAATTCAAGATAGTTTTGTTTCCAGCTTGCGGGATCCTCTTTGAGTTAAAATTAACCATTCATGAGTTATCCGCTGTACGCATTTAGAGTCATAAATGTCTAATCATAATACTCCGAACTCATAATCGTACGACGCGTAAACAACAGATTCCTCCTCAGTCTGAAGCGTAATGTTGGAAATGCGCCGAGAATGGTAATTCGCCGTGTCGACGGGAGTGAGAATGGCCGCGCGATCCCACGAGTTAAGTGGCTGCAAAACAAAAAATTTGAAGCGTCGCGCCATGCCTGATCGTATGAACATTGTCTTGCTCGCCCGTGACTCGGGTTAAGTAACATGATTTGATTAAGCGTAGATTTCTCTTAATAATAAACGGTAATTGATTTATTGCGTATAAAGAGGGTCACGCTGTCACCCGTAACGAGATGTGTACGCTGTGGCACGCGGGACCGAGAGAGATTCGATTGTACCTCCACGATCGTGAGTATCGTGACCCGATGCGAACACGACACTCACAAACGTTTTTCGATTCACGACTCATTGAATTCGCTTTCCCGATCTGGCCGTTTTCTATATAAGTATACCTACGTCTCGTACTTGGCGCTTAGCCTGCGAAAAGAAATTAGCATTTGCATCAGTGCAGATTTTGCATCTGTATTTTCTATACAGCACGTAGTTTAAAAAAGTTACGGAAACGTCGCGGGAATATTATCTCATGTAAATCAAATCTCGCTTAAATATTCAGTCATTTCCTTACTTCAGCTATGCCAACGGTCAACTTTGTATGCGCTAACGGATCTTTTATTTACGAGAATTTTAATCATCTGTATAAGCATCTAACGAACGATTCATGTCACCTCGTGGAACCTTTCAGGAAGATTACAACATTGCAGCGACGTTGCAATCTCGTCAATTTCGGTACAATGTTGCGAGGAAATTGTAGAGATATTGCCAAATTCCAATCAGATTGCAGCGATACGCGGAAAAACGTCGCATCACAATATGAAAGATTGTAAATTTTGTCCCAATATCGGAATACGACACTGTTCTGTGCACGCTATATAGGTATAGTCATGTGGAAATTATGTCAGTCACGCTACGTACATGGGTCCACCACCTACGCCGTCTTATTCATAGTTTTATTTGTAGTACGTGAAGGCAGACACGACTCAAGAATGTGCGTTACAGCGCGACACCATCGTCATTGATAGCAATTTCACGCGTGAGCTTGAAAATGTCAAGTTGTAATTTTAAATACCATGCAGTGAAGGCTTCATCATTTGACAAGTTAGCGAAAGGAACATACGCAATTATACGTGTGCCGTATTATTATTTATGATCGCGCTATTCTAATCTTCGTAACTTTCATGTCTTTGGATACCTCTTTTTTGATTTTTTAATATGCAAGAAATATCAAGCATCAAATATTGGCCAGATTATAAGTATACAGGGTGTTTCTTAAGTAAAAAATTGAAGGAAATATTCAGTGCACTGAAAAAAAAATTTTTTAATAAAAAAAATTATTTATTTAGATTGTTGCCAAGAGATTTACTTAATATAATACACATATTTATTTAGAATTGGATATTTTTACT